AAGGTAACAAATTTGGAAAATCGAAATATTGATCCTACTAAGTTTGGTGATCAAATTGAGGTGGAGACTTCTCAATTTGAAACAAATCAGGATCAAAGTGATATTGAAATTGAAAACCAGTCTTAAAATCCTACTTTAATTGATTATCAGTTGACTAGAGATAGAAGTAAAAGAAATAGATTTCTTTCTAAAATAATCACTAGTGATGATTTTATGACCCTCTTCCTTGTTTTAGACTTTCAATTTTGAATCTCCTACTACATTTGAAGAAGCTGTTAATTGTAAAGAATCTTTTTTTTTTTTTTTGGAAAGAAACTATGATATATAAAATAGATTCCTTAATTAAAAATAAAACATCAATTCTCGTTAACAGGCCTAGAAATCAGAAAATAGTTGATCATAAATGGTTTGTAAAATTAAAGAAGCCGATTCTAATGTTGAAAATAAGAGATGTAAAATTAGATTAATAGCTAAAGGGTTTCTACAAAGAAGTGTATTGATTATAATGAAATATTTTTACCTATTGCAAAATATACTTCAATAAGAATTTTGCTTGTTTTACCTACTCATTTTGACTAAAAATTGGATCAACTTGATGTTAAAGCTGCTTTCTTAAAAGATGATCTTGATGAAGTTATGTATATGAGTCAGCCTGAAGGTTTTAAAATTAAGACAAAATTTGAGAAGGTTTTTTTTGTTGAAAAACTCTCTATGGTATAAAACAAGCCCCTAAGTAATGGTATAATAAATTTAACTCATATATTCAAACCATAGGTTTTGTTAAGAGTAAATTTGATTTCTATTTTATTTCTAAAGGTTCAGGTGGTTCTACATCTATTTATCTTCTATTATAAGTTAATAACATGCTTCCTCCTTGCTCAGATAGAACTTATTAGATAGACATAATAAAATTAAAATTTGAGTTTGAAATAAAAGATCTAGGTCGAACTAAGAGAATTTTAGGTATGAAAATTAAAAGAGACGGAGAAAATTATACTCTACATGAGAATCAATGTTTATATGTGAATAAAGTACTTTAAAATTTCTCTATGTTTGAATGCAAACCTATTACATTGTTTCTTACAAATCACCTTAAACTTTCAAGTGAACAATCACCTAAGATAGATGAAGAATTTAAAAGAATGAACAAAATACCCTATGCTAATACTATTGTGTCTATTATGTATTTTATGTTATGTACTAGACTTGTTTTGGCTCATACATAAATATTTTGAGCATATCCATGGCCAATCCAAGTGAACCACACTGGATTGCTATCAAAGAAATGATGAGATATTTAAAAGGTTCATCTGTGTTAGGTTTGAACTTTAAAAGGTGTGATTAAGGTATAGTTTTGAATGTTTACAAAAATTCTAATTTTAAAGGTGATTTAGATAAAACAGGATCTACTTCTTCTTATATTTTCACACTTTTGTGATGGGTGCATTAGTTGGAAATCCCTACTACAAAAGATGGTGGCTCTGTCTTCTACTAAGGCAGAATGTTTTGGTTTAATAAACTTAACAAATGGATATTTTGGTTTATAGAACTTAAAAAAAAAAGAAAGAAAGAAAGAAAAAAAAAAGTTAGGTTTAATTGATTACATTTTCAGTGAGAAGTTTGGTTAGGATAAATCAAAACAACTTGTTATTATCAAGTCATTCTTAAGTTTTGGATTAAGTATTCAAGTTTTTTGTGATCTCAATAAATGGATTTGAGAAATAAAAGTTACTTATTTATCCTATAAGGTCCCACATGATAGGGCTTTTGCAAAGTTAAAAATTCTTCTGAGATTTATAAGTTGCTTTTGAACATATTATAATAGTTTTTTGAAAATATTTCATTTGATTGGAAGAGTATTTCGAGGAAACGGACTCAAGGTAACTTTTTTTCACAGAACTCTTCTACAAAAGACAGAAGCAGAAGGAGAAGTAGAAGTCTTGTTAAACGAGCCCAATTTTTTTCCCTGAATATTATGCCCATCTCACATTCAATATAACGATTAATTTCATTTTCACATGTGGTGTAAGTTGTTGATAAATTTATTCAATAGACACATTTTCTCATCGACTCTTTAAAACTTTTAATAAAATAGTTCAACATTAAATTCCCATTTTGTATAAATTAAAAGCTGATAAAAATTTTAAGTCATAGTCAGTAATTAATTTAACAACACATTTAATAGACGGTACAACTTTTCAACAATACATTTCATCAATTTTAATCAGAATATACTAAAAGATATAATTTTAATCTATAGAGCTAAATTTCACATAAGGTACAGGTACAGACTATGAGTTCGTGTCATTCTATGATCCTTGCATACTAATAGCTAGGAAAGGTGAAGATATGTTTAAAACGTTTGTCAAAAATCTCGATAGTTTTAGTCATGAAATAGGAACATGGCCCCATATTGAAATCTTTTCAATTTCTAGTATTGGAAGTTGTGGTAGAAAAAGACCCCAAAATCTTTGTATGCAATCTCCATCCCCAGTCTTTCACACTTCACTCATCCCATCTTATCTTTTTCTACCACTTTCATATTCTCTCAATTATTATTACTTGTTTATTTTTTTTTCAATTATTTTTAGTCTATAATATTGTTAATTGGATTTTATTGTGTTTATCGATGTTTAAAAACTTAATCGGATATTGATTTGAAAAAAAGTAAAAAGTTAAGTTATAAATGTTTAGTTTTGGTTTCTAAAAATTTTATTTTGTTTTTTCTTCAATGTAACTTAGACGTTAAAAGAGACACACCAAGTAAGTCATTAGTTTCATGAGATTTTTAATTTTATGAATGTTTAAAACTTTGTTGTGCATTAATCCGAGGCCGAATTGATAGTAAAAATAAATAAATAAATAGATAAACACGAATTGATTTTTAATCAATATAAAACAAACCTTAAACATTAAATTTGTACCAAGTGAATGATATTCACAATAACATTATACATCTCAAGGCTCAATTGTTTTTTAACCAAATTTATCTTTTTGACGCCTTGTCTTATTATTATTATTATTATTATTATTTGTTTTTTGTGAATGATTTATATAACCCTTGGAGCCCTATTTTGAAGGGGGGAAAATGAATTTTTCAATAGTGTATTGATGGAAAATGTGTGGCTAAAAAATAAGAAACTTTTTTAAATTTATATGTAATATTATTTTATTGAAAAATGTGTGGTTAGAATGAAGTTAGAATACTGTAGAAAAATGCTTTTTTTTTTTTAAAAAAAAATAATGGGGCTCAAAGAAGCTGATATTCTAAAATGTCACATGAGAGTTTATCTTTACCACTCAATAAGTCCAATGCAATCCAAAGTGAGGCATCCATGACCCTTAGATTCCATTGCATAAACGTTAAAAGGTCAAATTTAAGTTCCAAATAAGGGTTTCTAGGAATATTAAAGGTAGTTAAGAAGTTGTTTCTCCATATTGTGTACTTGTATTGAATGTTCAAGATATCTAGAACATTTTTATGTGTCTCGGTCTCGTCGGAAATGCACACAATTTTTTAAATGGGGATCACAAGTTTCTAGTACAAGAAAGATTAGAGAAAAAATTTCAAAATGAATTCAACAAATGTACATGATGTTTTCAGAGATTACAAACTAGAATTTGAAATGAGAAAATCTATTCAAAACTTTAAGAAACGATAAACTTAACTTCCACGACAATAAAAAGTAAAGTAGAAGTTCAGAATGAATTATCTAAATGATGATAATTCTATGTGTGACTTGTGAATCGCAAGTTTTAGAAATAAAAAAGAAATATTTGAAAAGATTACAAAACACAAAGTTTAGAGTTTCTAAATAAAAGTACAAAAGGAATTGCATTAAATAATTTTTAAATTTTATTTTATGGTAATAGATTCTAGAAAAAAAAATAAAAATATTTAGTAATGGAATTTCGTTCTTGGGCGAACCCACCACTGTTGGAGTTGAGTCGTGGTGGTGGGTGAGTGTGGATAAAACGTGCTCTCGATTGACCAATCAGAATTCGAAGAAATCCAAATAAACTAAAAATGAAATCAAAAATAAAAAACAGACCAATCAGAGCCACTGTTCTTCCCAAAGATTAAAGGGCTGCATTTGAACACCACACGCCCCCAAAATATATGAACCCCATAATTCTGTCTTCTTGATAATTTCGGAATTCTGGGTTTTAGGATTCCATTTTTGTTTATTATAATTTTATTTTCGATTTTCTGATCGGAATTGCTGGCTATGGCTGTTTCGAGCACGTTTGCAGGAGCTAAGATGGAGACTTTGCTGGTCAGCAACACGACGTCGTCTTCAATGTCGATGTCGCCCTCGACTTCTCCGACGACGATTGGGCTGCTCTACAAGACGGCTGTGGCTCCGCCAAAGCGATGTCATTTGATTAAGAATCAGAGGAGTAATTCGAGGATCATCAGCTGTGACGTTGCTTCAGATGCTTTTGCTCAGACCGTCGGCGACAAAGTGGATTCCACAAATGCGGCTTCGGCTTCCAGTCTCTCGGCTCTCGAACAGCTCAAAACCTCAGCTGCTGACAGTATGAATTTTTTCTTTTGTCCACCCTCTTTTTGGATAATCTGGATTAATACATTTTCTTTTGATGATTTGTGAATGCATTTTCATTTTAACCTTCTAAATTCGTTATCTTTCTCAATTTCTCTAATGTGAGATAATGTAACCTTTTGGCATATAAAATTGCAATGAACCTATGAAGGTATTAATGTATTAGAAGATTTTTGGTCCGGCTTAAAAAAAAGCAGCTTTTAGACCAGTCATAACGCTACTTTTACTATAGAAATCATGATAAGCTGCCTTTCTTCTGTGACACTTCAAGATAAACAATTTCGGATATTTGGAATTTTCTTATATTTATCACGTTAGATCAATTGCTGGAATGTAAAAACAATTTTTTTCTCAGTCAATTTAAGGTTTTCCTTCTAAATGTTTTCATAATGCTAAGTTTTTATATTCAATAAAATGCTATTTGTGATACTCAATGCTTGCACACCAGCATTCCTCTTTATAGCTTGTTTGGTTGTTCTTATAACCTACTTTTTTTGAAGTATGTTTCTCTACATAATTTCATAAAAACTACGTGCAAAGCTACTTATAAACACAGCGAGATGTGCTCTTTAATAAGGAAATGAATTTCAAATATCATCTGTTGTTTGGTGCAGTGCTTTCCAGCACTATGTAGTTATGTACCAAACTTTCCATTTGAGTTTTTCCCTTTGCTTATGTTTGATTTATGACTTTATTGACACTATAACCCTGTTATGTGCCGATAATTCTTCTTCAATTTAGCACTTGCCATAAGTATTTATGTGTATTTGATTTCCCTGAAGCTATGTGTTTGATGTGATTTAAGGATATACAAAAGAAAGGAGCAGCATCGTTGTGATTGGACTCAGTATCCATACTACACCAGTTGAAATGCGGGAGAAACTTGCTATTCCTGAAGCGGAGTGGCCAAGAGCTATTGGGGAACTATGTGGTCTGAATCATATTGAAGAAGCAGCTGTTCTTAGCACCTGTAACCGAATGGAAATCTACGTTGTAGCTCTTTCTCGCCATCGTGGCATTAAAGAAGTCACCGAATGGATGTCAAAGGTAATCTTTTTAATAGTATTTTTTTCTTCTGTGTTTTATCGAGAATCTTGGAATTTTCTTATTGGATGATAAATGAAATTCTATTATCTCAATTTTAGAAACCTATCACATTGTTCACTTTGCTCAACGTTAACACAGCAGACGACAAGAACAACTAAATAAGCCTTCTTCCTAATAGATTTGGAGTAGGCTACGTGAATCTTCTTTTTTAACTCCGTTCAATTCATTGCTAGATTTACTAGAAGATGCAAACTACAACAGGCCGTGTTAGTTTTGGTGTACCCTCCTCTCTCTTCTGAGTTGTTCAACCCATATCATGTCTCTCTTATGCAACAGTCTCTAAAAGTCTATGCAAAACATGTATCGAGCACCTAAGATGTTCTTCCCTCAATCAGGGACATACCCTTTTTCGCATATTCTCATTAACATAGAAAGTGATGAAATAATCAAATTTCTCATAGGTTTCCTGCATGTTAAATAAGATGCTATTTCTTCCTTTTGGCTTCTTATGTCTCCATAATTTCTCTCTCCTTTCTTTTCTAGTAGCAGAAGAACCTGATTTTGGAAGGGATGAGAATAAAGATTCTCCAGACCATCTTCTTAACTTTGTTGCACGTGTATTCCAAATGAACTGATTCTCATCATATTCGTTTTTACGAAGATATAGTATGAATTTTTGTGTTGGTCTTTTCCCATAATTGAATTTTTATGTTTTGCCAGACTAGTGGACTCCCTGTTTCAGAGATTTGTCAGCACAGGTTCTTGCTGTATGACAAAGATGCAACACAGCACCTTTTTGAAGTATCAGCTGGACTAGATTCCTTAGTATTGGGGGAAGGCCAAATCCTTGCTCAAGTGAAACAAGTTGTCAAAGTTGGGCAAGGGGTTGTGGGATTTGGGAGGAACATAAGTGGCCTCTTTAAGCACGCAATCACTGTTGGAAAGAGGGTTAGAACTGAAACGAACATTGCAGCCGGGGCAGTTTCTGTAAGTTCAGCTGCAGTAGAATTGGCTTTGATGAAGCTTCCCGAATCCTCCCATGCCACTGCGAGGATGTTAGTGATTGGTGCTGGAAAGATGGGGAAGCTTGTGATCAAACACTTGGTGGCCAAAGGGTGCACAAAAATGGTGGTCGTAAATAGAAGTGAAGAACGAGTTGCTGCCATTCGTGAGGAGATTAAGGATGTTGAAATAATCTACAAACCGCTGGAAGAAATGTTAAACTGTGCAGCTGAAGCAGATGTAGTTTTTACCAGCACTGCATCAGAAACTCCATTGTTTTTGAAGGAGCATGTGACAGAGCTACAACCTGTTTGTGATTCCGTTGGGGGATTGAGGCTTTTTGTTGATATCTCTGTTCCAAGGAATGTGGGCTCGTGTGTTAATGACCTTGAGACTGCACGAGCGTACAATGTCGATGATCTTAAGGAGGTCGTTGCT